AATTATTTTGCTTGTCCCTTGAGATTTGACTTAGAGAAGTTTGACATGATCCAAAACTTTCAAGCATTCAAAATATAAAAACCGTCCCAGAAAGTAAAGAAATCTTATAAATTTAGAGATTTTATAAATTGCGTCCCTAGGTTTTGGCAAGCTCAACAAATATTCTTTTGCAAATATGTGCAAAATATCTGCCAACCCTAACCAGCATCCACTATCAAGCTTCTTTTGAAAGTTCAAAATGTGGCACAACTGTGAAAGTATAGCAACAAAAAAAGAACCGGGAGTATCCTTAATTCCATATCTCCTTAATTTCTCCAAGAACTCAAGCTTTCACACAAATAATAACTTGCTTTTCACAATTTATTTCATGCATTAAAATGACGCTGCATTTCCATAATAACAAGAAATCCAGTGCAAAATGTAAGTATTTCTTCTGCAGTATACAGCTTAATAACCTTGATAAATCAGCGCTGAATGTATCTCATCTCAGCCATCCGACACTGGCCAACATAGCAATGTTTTATGAGATGCTGAGCATAAAAAATATGGTCTGAAAACGAATATCATGATACAGAGTGAGTGAAAAAACTACAATGAGGCCCCGAGATGTGGACGTAATTGGCCCTTGGGCCTCGTCCATATGTGTACATGTCAGCATGTCGGATTACATATATTTTCTTATAATCGTGAATGGGAACTTATTCAATTTGTTCTCCAGTTTATCAAAAAGGAGCGATAAATCCAGTTTATAACTTATTTTACACTTAGAGTTGAAGTTATATGTCATACGACATATATCGATACGTTTTCTTTTGGTGTTTCTTAGACTAAAAAACCGTAATTTTTGACATTTTTCTGGAGTTATTCTCCGGAAGAAAAAGTCCGAGTCTAGCTATATGCTGTGCAGAGATGATGGGGAATGCTCCAAAAAACGACAAAATTAACCTTTCGGATTATACATTTGAGTAAATTTATTTTTAAATTTCATTTTCAATTTTTGTCAATACAAATTGATGAATTTGTTCGATGTATATCCAAATTTTGAGAAATACTGTAAATATTTTCCATTTTTCTAGAAATGTTGGAAAATGTGTCCATACATAGACTATATAAAGACTTCGTCCAGATCTATACAGCAGTAGAAAAAAGTTCAAGTTTCACAGGGATTCAGCTGAGCAGGCATACAACCCCGGAGTGACGACGTGAGCTGGTACTCTTTCATAACAATTTCACTTTTCTCGTATTGTGTACTTTATAAAAAGCAACGAGAATTTTCCAGAGAATAAAAGTCGACGTCCCGGAGATAATTACCACAACTGCTAGGACCTCCGCCAGTGAGCAAAAATAAAATAAAATAAATCTTCTCAGAGCACAAAGGACAAGAGCCATCATTTCCCGGCTGCAATGAACACAATGTCGTACCAGACACATACAATATATTTTGTTTTCCATCATATTCTCGGTGTCTTCATTTCTCCAGCATTTTATGGCGAGAACCGGATGAAACATTGTCTGCATCGTTGCAAGGGGAAACTGGCTGGACTCGTTATATAACCTAGTGTCCGACTGCATCATTGCGAAGTGTGTCAAGCGGGAATAATAAATCTTGATCACGCCTTTATATATTCAGCAAAAACCAAGCGCTTTGCTGTATTATTTGTTTCCGGAAGAAAAAATAAATAACTGCCGTGCGTGTGCTGTATTGTATGCTTCAACCGCATGTACTGTACAATAACATATCCGATGCGGGATTTTCAAAAAAGTCGAGCTCTGTCTTTGCAGAAAGCAGAAACTTCTTGCTTGCGAAGTTATATTAGTCCGAAGTCCTGTGTTTTTCCCGAGAAAATTAGACACAGGGAATGACGAGGTAGACGCAGTTTCCAAGCATGGCTTCTTCTCAATTATGTTCCCCGTTACTTCTTATGTTTCCTCGTGTTTCTTAATTTATTATTTTTCCCGAAAATATGAGGGCAGAATTACTTCAGGCGCTACGGTCCTTCGGCCTTCCATGGTGGTTTTTTCAAATATTTCAGCAAAAATAAACAAATCACCGTAATACGTGAATAAATGCGTGTGAACATTTACTGAGGAATTTTCTGTAGGTGGTGAAAGAAGAAATACTTACAGTCCTTTCAAGCGAGAGGAGTCTGGGAAGTAATCAAGGAAAATGTTTATTCCATTATTCCATAGGGGTATACATCGAACTTTTCGATGTAAAATTCAATGGGACCCACACAAATTTTGACTTTGAAAGAGCTTTATTAGTTCGGAAAAACAGGATTTCTGTCGGAATATTGCTGGAAGATAAAATTGATGATTTTCTGGACCTGATAGATGATTCTGCTGGATGAATGAGTTGACGGGATGATGGAAATGTCGACAAGGCTTTTTGGCCCATGATTTAAACACTGTTTTTTGAAACATCAAATTACATTTTAATGCTCTCATCCTCCTTCTCGTGTCCTTGGGAGCTTAAATACTTCCCAAAATTTTAGCTACTGTACATAAGTTCGATGGGTGAAGTCTTGGAGTTAGGAGGTCTATATATTTTATTGTATGGAATTCCAGGCAGGGATTTGAAAACATTTGACATTGGGATCGATGGTTTTAGAAATAGGAAGATTCAACTTAGCAAGGTAAAAGTGACGCAATTGAAGCATTTACTATGATGACAAAATAAATTTTGTAACACTCAGTTCATGTGCAATTTTATTGCAAAGAAGAAAAAAGGAACAGTCTTTTTGTAGAGTCGACCGGAATACGAACACCTTTCTTAAAAACCCTTGACCAAAACTAACTTACTCCGAGTTTTTCATGACGTTATTAAGCTTTATGTATGTCATTAACAAAAAATTATATTTGTTTGACTCATCAGGAGATGAATGATTGGGACAAAGTTGATTTTTGGAAGAGCAGAAAACTCGTTTTTTCGTATTTTCATAATCTTGAACCCCTCAAACCGTAACCACTTTTCAGGCATTCGAAAACTGAAAAAAAAAACTGGCGAAGGAGCGCTGTTGATTTATTTTTTGTATAGAAGGTGCTTTGATATTATTAACAGGTTTTCTTTGCCGGCAACCTTTTTATTGCACAAAGATTTTAAAACTTTTCAGAGAGAAAAATTTCAAAAATTGAGCTCCTATTTGGCCATGCTCGTGGGTGTTGTAGAAAGTCCAAGGATTTATTCTTAAATCCTTCTTGATGCGGATGAATGGGGTAATACTGATGGGTAATACTGATGCAGTCGTAATACTGATGAAGTGAATGGGATTTCGGAAAATATTTCCAGATTTCTTTTCCCCCGGAGAAGAAAGAGTTTCCAGCTGGAAAATTTCTACTTTCCTTCGGCAGAAAATGCGGCAAAATTGAGGAACTGAGCATACATTAGAACAGAACTGAACCGTGGACGAGGCGCACTTCTACGCCGTAAACTTATGAATTTGAAGTATTTATCTTCCTGAAAGCCGTCTTTGGGAGTCGGAAGTGGAGACCCAGAGTGCTGTGCAAATATTTGCAGGACTTCGCCGATGTTCTCTATGCCAGGGGATCAATGAACGGAGTCACGGGACTCCAATTAGCAGTGCTCCCCAAGGAACCCCTCATCGGAGCCAGCTTCACATTTTCCTTTCTTCTTTATTTCCTTCTGGCAAGTAATATATATACTGTACAGTGAACCAACTTCCCCGTGTATAGTATCTTTGCTTGACGCATCGTGGAGGATATTTTGTGTATGCATTTTTGTCTTTTTCAAAATGAACTCTGCCAGGGACTGAAAAGTCCAGGGAAGAATACGCTTGAATAAACAATTAAAAATAAAGGTTAATCACAATAATAGGCCGGTTTCTAACGAGACAAAGTTTCCAGGAACAAAAATGACACGGATGTGGAATATTGGCACTGCATTTAAAAAATCGCAAGGTTTGCGAGCTTATATTTTACTTTCACGAATGGCTCAAGAGACCACTTCTGCTTGCAATGCTGGTTGAAAAATTTAAATGCGAGGAAATAAATTAAATTTCAACTGTGATTGTATGGTAGTGCATTTCACATTCAGAAATTAATAAAAAAAAGAATCTTCTGGAGATTTTCGAATAATTTTCTTTGAATGCGTCACCACCTCAGATGAATTTTCCAGCAGTCGCAACACGGCCTCAGTTTTAAAGTGGCTCAACAGTTTTAGCTGAGAATAAAGTAAAATATTTTCAACGAAGATATTCAAGAAAACATTTGATTGGTAAACCTTTTTAATAACTTTCTCAGACGGATTGCTTCGGTCCGAACTGTGCAAAAATAATCCTATATCCTTGTTTATTTTCAATAATGCACAAGACATCCTCGAAGAAAAATCATGGGCATTGTTCCGCAAGATATTTCAGAATATTTCGTAAACTTCTTTTTTATTTCAGCTTGCCAACTTAACTAAAACAAATAAACTCGCGGAATTCCGGGTTTGAGCAATATTGAAACGAAAATTCCCCTCACTCCGTCTTCTGACTTTTCAGCATATAATTTAGGTACGTTTTGGATCGCCATTCCAGTTACGTTCGTTCCTTGTGTCATGTAGTATATAATGTGTGATATGTTTCCTCTCTTTGTATAGAAAGACACCAAGTCATATATTCTTTCGGGACGTACGTCTGGGTTGTCCAGTCGACAAATGGACTGGCGCGGAAAAGGGATGAGCACAGAGCGGAATGGTACGCAGGGGAACCCCCGACCTAGACGAAACTTATCAGACCTTTCTTTCTTTTTTTCTTTAGAAAGGTCCGTGGGCCTACCTACTTTACTTGCGCTCTTTTTATTTAGCTCTCATTTTTCCTTTGCTATCGGAGAACCCCCGACGGAATAAATAGCAGTAAAACAGGTTCTACGCAGTAAATGTAAGGGGAAGCCCGAACTTGGCAAAGTTCATTCCTTTTTCGCTTGACCTGAGAACTGGGCCGGAATTTTAATTCCTTCTCAGGATTTATAAGCCAAGGGTGTGTCACCATGATGCAAATGTATTCTTTTTTTTAAATAAAAAAAAGTAATTATCTGCCAACAAGGAATCCGGGATGAGGAACCAAATGAATCCACAAAACTATTTTTCCACCATTCAAGAAAAAGCATACTTTTGAAAGCAAAATGCTTCATTTCCCGTTGCCTGGCGTCGACAGATTTCCGTTTAAAAATTTAACCGAAGAAATGCCTAATTTTCAATATCTTTCAGTTGATAGAATCATTTGCAGAAATGAAGGGGTGAACAATTTTCCAGGAATGATCGAAGATACCAAATGAGTGTATAACGAAAAACTAGCTCTCGGCGTGAAATCTAATTCCTTAAAACTTATTTTAAGGTAATCAACCTGAAATAGAATGCGGAGTGCATTTTCTCAATAATTGTTTTTATTCACGTTAATCCCAGCAGTTGTTGAAAATGACCGAATAACAAAATACACCCAACACAGCTTTCAGCACTGACTAGCCGAATTTTTAAAACGAAATTCCGGAAGTAATTTAGTTTTTCGGAAGCCCCCAATCATGATTCATCAAATCATCAATTTTTACAGTAACGATCAACGATTTATTCTTCATCAAAACTTCAGCAGAATCAACAATCGGATTGGAATTATGACGTCCCTATTTTTTATGTTACGTGAAGAGGGTTCTTTGGCCACTTTTTTTAAGGTTACATAATTTGAAGATTTTCCGATGATTTGAAGAAATAATTGAGTCACATATAAGTGTCAGGTGTTGAACGTGAACGTTTTCGTAAAAAAAAAAGACAGTATAGTTGTCGGGGTTAAGAATCATAAGTGTGCGATCGAAATTAACATCATAAATATCAAATACTGTTTATCCAATTATCGAAATGTGAAATAGATGCCAGAAGAAGAAGGATCAAAAAACAAAAATGTATTCAAGCTGTTGCTTCGTATGATCAATTTGAAACTTCATCATCAATAAAATAAATGATATCGCGAGGCTTTATCACATCTCAGATAATTCAAGTTTTTAATGAAATCCCCCATCAGGACCGGCAAGTTTCTCATCCGCGAGATCCCGGGATTCTCGAAATTAATTTCAATGCAAAGGACTTCTCTCATTCACCAGTACTCACCTCGAAAAGGCTGCCGCGGTACTTGGGCGGGTCCCAGGCCAGGACTGAGACATTCTGGTACAGCGGAGAGTTGAGGAAGTCGAACTTGGGTTTCGATACTATCTGCGAGTTGATGACCCGGAAGGTCGTCTTGGTCCCGACGTCTTTCTCAAATCCCGTCACTGGCGCGTGGTTGAATCGCATCACCACTTCATGAGCATCTGCAAATTATACACAAAACAGTTGGATAAAATATGCGACGAAAAACGATAAATATAAAGGCAATATTATGCATAATGTGTTGAGATATCGAATCAGAACCGTTTCTTGCTCGGATATTTCTTTATTGTACAATGTCTCTCACCAAATAGCCCTTGAAAGAAGGTATTTGCACAGCTTGATGTCCTTACGACACTTATTCTGTGTCGATTTACACAGGATGAAATAAGTACTGTACTGTAATTGACAGCTCGAAGAAATTTGAAAAAAAAAGCGATCGGATCAGTAATAGAATCGAATTTTTTATATTCGGAAACCCTAACATAATTTCATTCTTTCATGATTTTCAAGAACTTTCCCTCAAAACACATTTTTAAAACAAGTCTTTTGGCAAAATAGCGAGAGCTGGAAAATGTTAAGAAAACTCCTGAACTTCGGGCAAAAATTAGGAAATTTCGTCGAAGAATTTCGATCACTGAGAAAATTACAGGCAAATGGCTGCAACATCTTTCGAAAGATTTTTTCGAAAAAATAGTCTCGTTTTACCTTTACTTTAAAATTTAAAATCACCCGAAAATATACTCGCAGTACAAGGGCTTCTAAATTAGGCATTTGTCCTAAGCATAGTGCTAAACACAAGTTCCTAATTACGACAATAAATGAATGTCTAAATACGTAAGAAAGCATTATCCCAGCATTGAATTGGGGTACACACAATTCATCAAGCTCGAAACACGGCATTTCTGTTTCGCATTCTTATTTTTCCCCATCCGTTTCGCAAAATAATAAAACTTTACTGCAAGCAAGAAACGATTTACTTATAACTTTCGGCATACATTTGCCGAATCCTTCAGAATAATAGACGCGTATTTTCTGGCGCGAACTTCGAAATGCCAACGCCTCGCATTCGTGGAAATGGGAAGTCAGCTTAAAGTGCATCAATTTGTCTCATGAAACGCACAAAAGACAGTTCACTCTGTTGAGGACATTGATGCATAATTCTGCAACTTATTCTCGAGTAACACTTGGCATTTGCGCAGAGTGCTGAAGTCGACCTGGCGAGAAGATGCGATGTCCTTGCACAAATTATTGTTCGGTTCAGGACTGCTCAAAATATGAAATCACCATGAATATTGGGCATTCTAAAACTATTTGGAATATGCTATGTATGTATAAATCAATTGTTTTTAGATTTTGCGAGTAACCCCCAAACACAACAGACCTCCCGCACAACAGATTTCTGCGGAACAGACAACCTCAGGAAGCAGTTTTTCCTCTTGCAAAAGAAATAAATCCACGTATCAGATTTCAGTGTGTAGAAATGTGTGCCACCAGTGGACATGAATCCCTCACATCACCCCCACCTATTTCACAACAGAATTCACATAACAGACTTTTCATATAACAGACTAGTCTGTTGCACAAATTTTAAGAATTAATTGTGTGGGGATTGACTGTATTTACATTGCATGTCAAGAGTGCTTATATACAGTACATATTTAACTCACATACACTACTTATACTGTAGTGCATACTTGAAGCTTGTTCAGTTGAAGTCAGAGTGATCCTGATAAAAACTTGACGTATGGAGTTTCTGAGTTGAGAAAACTAATTCTCATGTAGTTTTTGATGGAAAGAAGGTTGGAAAAATCACAGGATGGATAAATTAGCGTTATATTAAACTTCAGAATGCTTAATAAATAAGAAGACGAGAGGAAGCTGAAATCCAAACCAAGGATACATTCGAAAAATTAGTCATCATAAACTTTATTTTCGAAATTATTGGTGTTGCATTTTATTCCTCTTCAATGCCCGTGGTCCCCAGGAATAATAGGAAAAAGTCATCAGAAGTTACAGTTATGAAGGTTTTAGAATGGAAGACTTGCTGTTAAGAAGATATAGAATTCTAGATTAGACTTGTTTAGACACTTGGATGGTGGCAGGTGAATTTTCATTCTACAGCAGAGTCTGTTTTTTTGTAGGTAGGTGCACATTTTGGTTTGATCAATGGTCACCAAAAAAGCCAGCCTTGGTCAAGTATTAGCACAAGTCAAATATTTTTTGGGACATCTGAAAGAACTATTATTCATAAATCCCTCAATGGCATTCCAATGTCAGGAATGCAGAAATATTGAAGAATGTTTAAACTCATAGAAAAAAGGTTTTCACAATAGCAAAATCGGACTCCTCTCCTACTTAGGTTGCACTGATTAGCATAGATAATTTTTCGACACTTCCAGGCACAAAATTTTGCATACATTTCCCTGGGTTTGCCTCATGAGGGTTCAGGGAACTCAGCCAGAGACACAAATATTTTGGACTCAGGGAAGTTCACTTTTGGGACATCCAACAGCATTAAAAAACTTAGTAACCCAAGGATTGTTAGACTTCACAGCATTTTTTTCTCTCTCACTCTCTCTCTCTCTCTCAGAAGTCACAGAAAGCATAGGATACCACACGCGAACTGTATGGTCGGATTTCCACGAAATTGCCCTGGTATAGGGTTTTCCAGCTGCGCAAAATCACCGGTCTAATGGCATAATAATGAGGACCCATCCCCGGGTTCGGGCTGATGCGTCCTTAGCCCATTGCTTCGGGAATGCGAAGAGCTTCAATCGTTTCACTGGTCCATGGGGGGGTTGCTGGGTGTTGGAATGGAATGACAATGGAATGGACTTCTGCTATTGCCACATAGACTTATCTTTTCAACACCAGGGATTGGTTGAAATGGCGTGGATCCTTTCGCAGATGCATTTCGAATAGGCTTTTTTGCCAATTTCGATGAACGGTGGGATGAAAAATCTTATGCTTTTTAATGAATGAACAAAGCTGAAGCATTTCATGTTGCATAATTTGAATTAAAGAGAAGTTTGCCTTCAATTTTCTCTCTGAACAAAATTTGCATAGCCTTATTTTTTCCTCTTAACATGTAAATTGTAAAAGCTTTCTTCCTTGCTCTATTATACTGTTAGGCTCAAACATACTGTGAACCCAAGAGCATATATTTTTCCTTTTCTGGTACATTCTTAATTGGAAATTAGGCCGTTTTTCCAACATTTAGGCCACAATTCTTCTTCAAAGTGTTAAAAAATGTTCACTGGATTTAACCCTTGGACAGTGGAGGGTTCCTGCCTGTTCTCCTCTAAATTTGGGGTTTTGGGGGGGGGGGTAGGGGGCAGCGCATTTCAGTTTGACCAAGGGAGTGAAATGCACCCAGGTTGCCAAGGCCTAAGTCAGGAAAAATCTTGGAAGGGTGAATCCTTTTGTACTCCAAAATCTCTAATGCTACTACTATGCAAGGAATTCTTGAAGAAAAAAAGCCATCAAGGGAAGAATTTTTTTTCATTTTGAGGCAAATTATTTCTGCAGGAATATAAAATATATTGGACTTTTTCCTGATCTGTGCCTTGGCACAAAAATCATATTTTTTTAAATTTTCAGTGCTCATGGGCACAACATTTCACAAAAATATTCAGACTTTGCCTCACAAGGGCTACTTTTCAAAATACTACATCAAGTTGTTGCCTTCAAGCAGGATGGAGTATTTCTCATTACACAGTTTCTACGATTGCATGAGGATGGGAATGCTTCCACTTATGTTGTGGACTGCGGCATGAGAAAATCATTTAATGCAATAATCCTCCCTCCCGCATCCCATCCTCTAAAACTAGTGATTTGTTCTTCAGCCTCCAAACCAAAGTTTCGAAGTAATCTTTACAAGATGCCCAGATTTGTTTATGACTTCAAGGAGAACAACATTCTTCCTTTTTCTTCTTCCTCCCAATGAGTGAAAAACAGAATTCTTTCCACTGCCAATTCTTGATGGGTATACAGAGCTAAAAACGGGGCATTCAATTCTCTTGAAAACCTTGTCTGATTTCATATTTTTGTTGCATGAAAGTATCTGTGCGTGAGTTCAAAAATTCTCCATGTAGAAATAATGTTGTATTAGGACAAAAATAAACCCAAATTCTTTCTGAACCCTTTAAAGAGACTCTCAGGCATTCCCGCACTGATCGTTGGACTTCACTTACAATTCTAATCACTTTTCTTTGCTAAGGAACTTCTAACTCCCTGAACTTAGATTGTATTTTAAACACGAAAAGCAGTATTTTTCTCTGTCAAATGAGCACTGAGTCCAACTACTCAGTACCCAATTCAGAGCCAATCCCATGCCAACTGAGAATTGCATATTCTCTTGCAGATTGATATGGTGACATCATAACTGAGTTCCATGCTCGAAATTAGGGCTGAAAATTATGCATTACAGTTACTTGGTTTAAGTGTTTAATTGTCGTCCTCATAACTTTTCAAATGCTGGTGGCATGCTTTATCCAGTGTCGTTGTTGCATTTTTTGGTGGAACATTTGAATCTCATTTGAAAAATTAGCAATTAGAGTACAACAGAGTCATTTTTTAGGTCCCTGCTCTTATAATGATAGCCACGTTGTTAAAAGAGTTCCGTTGCGACTATTGTTTTTTTAACAATGAGGCACAGGTCTCAACGACTTCCTCGTAAAGAGTTCGTTTTCTTGTACTAAAGCAGACCCGGCTCTCAGCAGTCATGTTGCACAAGCAGCACTGAAGTTCGACAATATAGAACAATATCTGTAAAGAATATAAGTAGCATTTAAAAAAAGACTTGCCGATTTCGTGACCAAGGTTGGACCCCAGCAGAGACCCAGCGTTGGTGACAACTGCGCAAGAATTGAAACGTTCTCCTTGCAGAAACTGGCCTTCCGGGAAGAATTTCCCCATGCCAGTCGTCTTGAACGGCTCGTCTTTTCTCCCCAGAGTCCGAAGCGTCACTTCGTTTTTCAGCTCACACATCAGCCCGGCTATCGACTTTCGCTCCGACAGCTTCAATCGTTTTCCCATGTATTTCACCCTGGAAAAGTGAGAGAATAAGGCTCAATTGATTTTTTAGTCCAGAATTTTTTATTTCTGCAATAACAGAACTCTGATTATCCCGACAGACGAACCATGCAGGTCTCTAGTCGTAGCTGCGCTGAAAATCAATTACCACAGCCAATCGAATATTAAAAATTTCAGAAAGGTATGGGTCACCAATTCGAACTGAGCAAGTATATACTTCAGAGTGAAAAGAAAAATCTCAAGATGCTAAAATCTTGGAAAAAGGATATTCTAAGCACTTTGATGCTGAACGCTAAAATCAATCAGGAACTTGAAAAGAATCCTTAAAGTAGAATACAATTTGCCTTTGGTGACTGCAGCACCCGATGCGTAATTGTATTATTAATAATCCTCCTTCCCGTAAAAACTGGCGCTGGTGCTTATAGAGAGACCAGCACCAAAGAACTAATCCCAAAATATGACAATGCACAGCATCATCTTTGATTCTGTTGATATTAGCCAGTCAGAAACACACACAAAAAAACACTCAAGGTAAACCCCTTTCCTCCTCTTCCTTCTTCCTCCCAAATAACCAAACTCAGAATTCATTCCACTGCCAACTGTCCAACTGCACAGAGCTAAAACCTTACCCAAGTTATTTCTAAAAGACTTGTGCAATTGCCTTGTGTGTGTGTGATTGCAAACTTCACTGAGTTGCCAAAACTGTGTTGGGACATAAATAAACCCAATAATTTTTGGAACCTCTATAAAGTGGCTCCCAGCAGCCAGTCCCATGCTGATTGTTGTGTTTTACTTTCAATTCTAATCACTTCCTTTGTTAAGGAATTTCTGATCCTTAATCCTTGGACAGCAGAGGGTTCTTTCCCATTGCCGGCCAAAGTTGGATTATTTTTGTCTGCCCGGGGGCGTTTTAAGTTTTCTGAAGGTCAGAAAAGCCCTTCCAAGTGGGCTGAGGCAAAAAAGGGATTAATCCAAAATAAGTCTGTTGCATAACATACCATTTTTTATTTCCCTGCAAACCTTTCCTGTGCAAAAAGAAAAAAACATTGGGATTTTTCCTGACTTTGTCCTCAACTCCCAGTTTTCATTTTTTTCTTCTCCTCTCTGAGGTGCAACAAAATTTTGCAAAAATAGTCCAACTTTGCCGCCCAAGGGTTAACAATTACTTTAGGGAGAACAGCAATTTCTGAACTTGCACATGAAATGGTTTCTTGTGCTTCATGTTTTGAAAATTACTCAAACAGCGTTTTTGATCAGCATTCCAATAGATTTTTTGAATTTTCAACTTTTGAATGCTCAATCACTAGCTGTCTGCTGCAGAATTGTGAAAAGAAAATAGGGATGGTTCTAAATTAGGTAAAAATTTATAGTTTATCTTTTTAATTATGTGTAGTACTGCTCTTTTTCAGATTTCGCATCCGTGCATTCAGTATTGCCATTTCATCAAGCAGAAGAACGTGGATCAAAGCAAATGATCTCACCCATAGCGATTGGTCTTGCCCCGCGCCTCTTGAAGCAAGGCATTTCGAAGCTGCACCAGCAGCTGAGTCTTGTAGCTCTTTGCTCTGTCGACTGCCACGGCACTGCCGTTGCCACTCATCGGCTCTTCCAAGATGGCGAACTCCTCGCTGAACTGCAAGGGGAACATCCGCGCAGCAGCTGCGGCGTCAATGTCGTCCCACGCCCGCCCACGCGGCGGCGTGCGCTGCTTCCGCTCCGGTGCGTGGGTCTCTGCGTACTTCCAGTACTGCGCCCACAGGATGTACACGTAGCACCACATGCCGAGGAACATGGTGTTGACAAACATCCAGACGGACACGGCCGCCAAGCCGTAGGACTACAACCCGAGCGCGAAGGCGGCGGCGGGGGTGTCGTACAGATCTGGTAAGGCAGACGCGAAGCAGCAGTCGCCCTTGGGCTAGCCGTCGTAGTCCGCAGAAGTGGTCAGTCCCCCGGCGGTTCTTACTGAGATCTCCTGCGTTGATGGTATAGGTAGATCAGAAGAATGCACAAAAACCGACAGGTGTAATAATAATACCACATTTTTTACTGGAGTTAAACGCGCTGTCAAGTAAGAATAAGCACCACAGGTGTCAGAAATTTATTCTAGGCAATAAAGGGTAATTAATAAATCCTTTCCATGTTTAAAAATATAAATTCCAAATCAGACAAGCTTTTATAGACTCTTTTAAAGGACAATTCATTGCTGGAGGAATATTGTGGGAAGTTCATGTCAACTCTGGTCCCATCACAAGATTCCTCTGAAGATTAGCTGTTTTGCTGATCTTCACAAATCTGTGTTTCTAAACACCCCTTACTTTAATTTTTGACACCAGGGCTTTTCAGTTAGACATTTTGACAAAATCCTATCCCGGAGAAAGAGGTACACCCCAATTTATATAGCGATTCTAAAACAAACAAAAAAGAACATCAGCTCAGAACCCCTGATTCAAGTTTAGGCATTAATTGAACATGAATTTGACCAATTTTTCGAAGTTTTCCATTACAATGAGTTTTTCTGTTAATAATCATTCCAAAATTTCCCATTTGAATCAAGTACAGTAAGACCCCAAGATGTGGACATAATTGGTGCATGATGAGTGTCCCGGCCTAAGTCAAAATTTCCCTAAGATGAGTCTTTTTTCCATAGACATACATTATGCAATTTTTAATTGGTGTTTCATGGAAGATTTATCAGATCTGTACAAAAATTGTCTGCATATTTAAATTGGTTCAGTGAATATCTTTCAACTCAATATTTGGAGCATTGAATACTGTACCTATGTATACAACATGTAATGTACATGTATTGTACATATTTTGTATTCATATTGTACATTTACACAGTCTTTTAGTTTAAGCGTACTGTCTGAAAAGTGTATCGTCTGACCAGATAACGTTTTTAATTCAGACAACACACCCCCATGACTACATTTATGATAATATGTACAGTATTCTTGATTATTCTCTAAAGAAAGTACTCAACTCATTCAAGATATCACAGTTTTGAAAAACTTTCGATGTTGAATTTGTCTGAAATAATTTTGAAATGTCTAAATCCTGAAACAATATGCGGATGTCAGGGCAAAACTTTGTATTTAAAGTGTCCTTAAGTCAAATTGTCCGTAAGTATGGGTGTCTACATTCTGGGGCTCCACTTCAAAGTAAAAACTTGTTACAACAAAGCCATTTGGGACCATTAAAATAGCTTTTTCATACAATAGTTGTTATAATGGAACTCATTTAATATTGTGGTTACTGGGAAAGAGCCCAACAATAAGCAACCTTGTTGTTATCATTGAATCATTATGATAATATTTGTGGTAATGAGATTCTGCTGTATTCTGTTTGCAATAACCCTGCGAATATTTTTTAGTCATCATTTCATGCTTTGAAGTCAAAAGTTATTAGCCCTTTCCACTGCAAACGAGGGATTTTCAGCCACATTTTCTCACTACAGATACTTCAAAATTAAATAAAAATTGCACTGGTGAATATAGTCCATCTGGAAATTGTAGTGTTTTTTAAAGCTTTGGCAATGTTAAGAAAACTCTTTTGAGGCTGCATCTTTTTCAGTCTTCATTTTTTTATTATCTTGAGGGAATAGGGGTCTGTTAAACACTGCTAATGCTGTAAGCAAATATTTTTGCGTGTGATGTTCAACATGTGCACTTTTGTGAAAAATGAATTATATATGCACAGTGACATGAATGCTTTTCAGTGCTGCTGGTAATGCTTTTTTAACCCCACACTTCCTTACACGCAAATATTTATTTTTAAATATTAACCCAAAAATAATATCGTTACTCTCTAAAAGAGTGCTGATGCGTCTATTCCTCGTTGCAAGGAGAAGACAGCGCATAATAGCAATGCCAGACGTCTTTTCCTTAGCTTGAAGGAAGAATCGTTGCAGATGCAAAGGAATGCTTTCAATTGCGTGTGAAAGGCTTTGTTGAGCAGATTTGCAATTGTCAACGGCATTGAAAAGCACCGGAGAACCTTTCGCAGTGACGAATTTTGTGCGAGACGGAGTGAACGAGTTTTAACATTGGGGAAAGAGACCTTGAAAGAAATAGGACAGAAAATGTCTGGCATTTTTCGTCGCTGGAAAAATGTGTGATTCGAATTGAAAATTGCGTTAATGTAAAAAAAAACACGTTTGGAGCAGTCTTGATCGAACAATTTTCAACTACGCAAATCTTACCTCCCGCGTTTCAATTATTTCGTATTTGAATTTTTACAAGAAAAACGAAAAAAAACATTCCGTGTCTCATAAATTGAAATTCTGTACTTACGTCGTTTAGCAGGCGAAAATCTCATGAACAACATCTGTGGAGTTCGGTTTCTTCCCAGGGTCGTCAACGTTTCTGTAAAAACAGAAAGAAGGAATATTTGAATTTTCGTGATATCAACGCCAAGTATTTTTGATCATCACAAATATTCATTCTAGGTTCAGTATACAGAATTAAATAAAATAATAATACCCAAGCAGGTTCAGAAACCTAAACAAGTGCAAATTTTTCAGATGATAGATCTGACGAAATTCTCGAATTACATCAAGATTTCATGCATTTTCCTAAATTAATACATTTATAATTAAAATTTCAGTAACATTTTTCAACAGCCTCCAATCTATGATGGTTTTTTCTTATTTCCTAAAATTTTAGAAGTCAACTGAGAAAAACGAACTCAAGTTCGAAATTTCGGTTCTTGGACTTGAATTATATGTACGGCCATCATAATGTAGAAAATAAAATCAAGAACGCACATCACCATTTCAAAACTGATCACTGACACTTTTTCAAAACGAAATTTAACTACAGGGATAAAATTTTTCCGATGCGTTGCAGTATTTAATGAGATTTTTCTGCACTTTGGTAACTTTTTGTAAATTTTCTATTTCCGTGATGAAGCATTACCTGGTAGATGAATACATGAAAGAAAGCAATTTAAATGGTGCATTGAATTAACAGATTTATGTGTTTCCAAATTACGGAATACAGTACTGTAGTCAGAAGGTCATGAAAAATTCCCTAGATTGTACTTCATTAAACAGTACATGAAGTTTGGAGCAGACTTCGAAAGCTTCTCTGCGTAGTTGAACGATTGATGATTGATTCTATAGTTGCTTCTCCAGTCCAACGATTATTCGGCAGAAGGTGCTTAAGGCGAAGTACTAATCAGTACCCTTCAAAATAACATCTGTCAATATTGAACTGCATAACATTACAGTACGCAGATTCGCCAGTTCTTCCGAACTTTTGAGGTAATTTGTAATGTTTACCCGTCAACGGAGCAGGTTATAAAGAAACTGGCGAAAACAAAACTTTCCTGGGATGAAATTATGTGTGATACTTTCTAAACAATAAACATTCACAACAGAAAAATAACTTTGGGAACTTGAAATATTTTGTACAGAAAACTTCGAAAGAAATCTAGACTAAATTTCATGATGAATCAGCGCAAGATATTTTACTATACTGTAATTTGACTGCTTCGTTGTTGTTCGAATCCGAAAGTTCTGTCAAATTTCTTCGACATTTTTAAAAGTTTCTCTTGTCCCAAATGGAGGTTTGGCAATTTCACAAAGGAATTTAACGTTTTAACTCGAATCGGTGCAATATCCTCCGAATTATTTTGCCGTGCTGCACAAAGTTTCCATATAATCTCGAAATATTCCGGTCGAAAAATCAAGGCCGGTTTCGCTAATATACGAAATGCACTGCAATTTCCCAGGCAAAAAGAGGGAGAGGTTTCGGATATTGCCGCCCAAGCCTGGTTCTTCATCATCGACGGAACTAATGGTCTTCGAAAGGCGGGGAATCGATCTGGAAGCTAATTTTGGGCCCGGGTTTCCCCTCCTGAGCTTCCTCTCTAATGAGCCCCAACGATTTAATATCGGCCTTTTTTTGTTTGCCCTCGGCTAGATCAATTTAATCACGTGGATTGCCCATGCCGACCCAGATCGATGCCAGAAAATAGAATGTATTCAACAATAAAATTGCCCGGCGGCAGTTTCCCCAACATCCCTTTCAGATCAATTCCGGATTTGCTCGCATGCATTGCTGATCGATTTATTCAAGTCGAATGGGATTCATGTTATTGGTGATTTATTGGGATTTCCGCAGTTTCTCAGCGTTTCATCACTCGGTTATGAAATTCACGCATGGCCATAATTTAGTGCATCACACACTGATAATATTCAACCATGATGTTAATAATTGAATGTATTTCCGTAAACCCACTCGTACTTTTCGGAAAAAATTACTTCGCTGTTCGCACTGAATATTATGCACGAGTTTTAATCATTCGATTAAGCACACGTGAATTGACTAATTTAGCACTGAGTACAAAGATGAACTATAATTAAAGACCCATGTTATTTTCTAGTTTGCCTTTTTTATTAGCTAAGAAAAGCAAAGTTCTATTAAAGCTTACGAGGGTCTATACACGACATTTAATATTTAGCAGATTGAACTTGAAAACCAAAGTCAAAGTAAAGAAAGATGGTAGACTAAAATAGTCTGGAATCCACGTCATGCCGAAAAAAAATTAATAAAAAAGGAACGCCGTTTTATAGCCAGTGACATTTATACCAACAGTAGAATAATTTTTGACGACGCTTGAAAATTTAAGCGATATATACGGGTTTAACAAATTTATGACAATATAAATGAGCACCTGCAGTGACCCATAGAAAATTCTTCAGGTGACGACTTTTAGCTTCCTTATAACATAAAGTCGCAGGACTGAAAATCCAATAACCGCTTCCTCCTTGGTCATAAATAAACCTGCAACGGTAAGTTTGGAATAAAATAACACATGACACGTATCAAGCTTCAAAGGATTTCAAAAAATGGGAAACGAAGAGGTGCCAAGGGGTAATTTCGTCAGAATTTCCGGAAAGGCTTCTGTACTGTTCTCGACAGCAGTAAATCGTGACTCATGTTTCTACTTGATATTAATTTCTGGGTACAATAAAAGATCAAACGGAAAAAATAATCGATTCTTTTCGTTTCAAGATAATTTCGAATGCTCCCAGATATGTGCTGTAAATTATGAGCAGATTGAACTTGAAAACCAAAGTCAAAGTAAAGAAAGATGGTGGACTAAAATAGTCTCGAAACCTCGTCATGCCGAAAAAAATTAATAAAAAAGGAACGCCGTTTTATAGCCAGTGACATTTATACCAGCAGTAGAATAATTTTTGACGAAGCTTGAAACTTTATGCGATATGTACGGGTTCAACAAATTTATGACAATATAAATGAGCTTATGCAGTGACCCATAGAAAATTCTTCAGGTGACGACTTTTAGCTTCCTTATAAAATAAAAATCGCAGGACTGAAAATCCAACCGCTTCCTCCTTGGTCATAAATAAACCTGCTAATGGTAAGGTTGGAATAAAATAACACATGACACGTATCAAGCTTCAAAGGATTTCAAAAAATGGGAAACGAAGAGGTGCCAAGGGGTAATTTCGTCAGAATTTCCGGAAAGGCTTCTGTACTGTTCTCGACAGCAGAATTTCTCGGAACCCAGAAGACGAAAGGGCTCTTCATCATCTCCGGAATATCAGACACAATTTCTAGCTCAAAAAAGAGGGAATCGATGCCCGCAGGTAATTTCGGTCTGGGTCGGGTTATATACGTGGGTTGCCGCAGCACGACTTGCACCCCAGCACGTATATGTATGTAACCCAGCAGAGGAACAGGGTTCTCTTGGTGCTCGTCGGGTTTTAAAGCAGCCGCAGCTGTCGACTCTGAGAGATCATCATCGAGCCCGAGCTTTTCAATATCCCGTCGTGTTGCTGCGACGCGGTGCTGCTTAATCACGAGCCAGGCCTGGGAACATTTGCACAGGTTCATCAGGCTAGGTTAGACAATGACGGCGTATTTTAATAATATGCACTCCATCCAAAGCCGGTGTCGAGGTATATTGAAGCGAATATGCAATAGGGGATGATCCCAAAGTTTTGACGTTCCTTCAAAATTCTGGGGCACGGAAAAGACCTACTTTTGATGCCACCAACAGACCAGAAATTTGTCAACAAAAAGCTTTTTTTCGTTTCAGGGTTTCATCAATATCAAACAAGGCTGAATTGTATATTGTACTAGCAGAATAAAAAATCCAACCTATATTATGTTGGGGGCAACAGTCACCATAAGGATGATCAGAGTTGCTGTGGATCAAAACATCAGTGTATGGAAGCAAAATGCAGATTTATCCCAATACAAGAGCTCGAGATTCTCACTAAAATCCTCAATTAAATGTAGACTGTATTTTAGAACTTTGTCCCAAGAAATGTGAATTAGTTTTAACAAAAGAATCAAGACACAAAAATGAAAATTGCAAAACCTCTCACAAAACTCTTGTTTTTGGACACACAACTACTCCCAATGACAGCTAGACTCAGACTGATGAATATATTGGGGATTAAGGTGGGTTTTTATTCATTTAGTATGATGGCCTTGATCCAGAACTCTGGCTGTGGATTAGGTGATTATTAACCATTGTGTGGAAAAGTTAACCTATTTTTTCAAAATGTTGTCCCGATGTGGGCTGTAAATGAAAAAATCTTTGAACCAAGGAGAAAAGTCATGAAAATGTCTAATTTTTTTTTATAATCTTGCAGAAAAATTAGGCTAAAGAATCCTTCCTGGGTGGTATTTTTTCATGCATTCACATTGGGGATTTCTTGAGATAATGGAATTTTCTGCACCCAGGTTTTTCCCAGCTTAGGCCTTGGCAACCTGAGGACATTTCAGTAACCTTAATTGTTCAAACTGAAATCTCCCTTCCCAAATCCTAACTTTGCCAATGGATGGCCAGGAACCCTCCATAATTCAAGGGTTAAAGGTCTGGGATTGGCCCAGAAAAAAAGACTAAAAGACCACATTGGGGAAAAAACCTTGCAGAAGAAATTTCTCCAAGTTTCTCAATTTCTCTGGCTAATTCTTTTATCCTTGGGAGGTTTTTCTACCCAATTATGCCTTATTGATATATGAGGCACGTATCACGCTGGCGTGGCAGGTCCCCAGCAACAATAACCTTACAAACTCAAAAACTGTGTGAAATCTCAGCACAGGAAAGACAATCAAGTTAAATTCTGAAAATAAGCATTCCCAAGTTGATCCGCCTCAGTCATCATTCCATCAGTGTACAGTACTTGTATATGAATCGCCATTGTATTTTGGTTTGAACATAAGTACAGGAGTCAGAAAATTAAAGATTCAGAAACTCGAACCATCCTCAAAAGTGTAGCAAAATTCAGGATGTCACCAAGCATTTCCTGTGACCGGAAATGGACATTTTCATGAATTATTCATCGAAGCAAACTCGACCAGAAGGAAAACATTTTTCTTTTCTCGCTTGAAAAAATATATTAAAGGCAAAGCTGCAGGTGTATTTCGTATATTTCAAGTCAAATGCCAAAGGTCATGCATGCAGGAAGACGTGTGCAATTGCGTTGAATTCATCCTATGAGAAATTTCAGTAAAATAAAAGATAAACTATGCATGGAATCAAGAGTCATGTAGGTAAAAACTTCGGAATTAAATGAACCATATCGCTCAATCTTTTGAAATCCAAAAATGCCGCACTATTCTAATAGCCGGGGAAAATAAAAACTTGGGCAAATGAAATGATTTTGAAATATTTTACTGTAATTGTATATTCTTACGAGGTTCTCCGCATGTGCTATATTTCAAATACATATTTCGGTATTACTCTAACTTCTCAAGCTAAGTTTTTTTATATCTTTTGATAATAGCTTCCATGTTACAGTATATGATCGTCAGAACTGATGATGACCAACGGTTCTGAGGATAATAATCAGGAATTATTGTACTGTATGCGTTTGAAATTTTTTTGGAGTAAATTTTCTGTGGCAAACTTGTTTACCAAATATTCCGTGAAAGCCTGAAAATGTCACTTGGAATAATATAGAATCAGGATGTTTTTACCACCTGTCAGAGACCCTAAGGTCTAGGACAAAGAAATTAAGGGTGAAATAAATTGAAATGCACACTAGGCCATTTGCAGTCAAGGCCAAGTCTCCAGGAACTGTTCTTAATTCTCACACAATTTTCACAGAGATAACAATGAATGGTTTTTCACTTTTTCAGTTTTTGGAATTCACATTCAAGGAATACTCGCTGCAAAGTTCTTGAAGGAAGCGAAGCTTCTTTGGTGGATTTTGTCTTGTGTGCCAGGAAGAGGAATCCAGTTTTTTGGTACTGGTTTACATGAAAATTAGATTTTGTTGGAGGTGTGATTCTTCGATTTTTGATGTTTGTATAATGTTCGTGGCATGTAGGTGTAGTGTTTGTATCATGCGACCTCTAGGGGTTCCTGATGCCACCCATTATTTTTATTTATTATTGTCACGCAGTGAATCTCCGGGAATTATCTGATATTAAAATGGGTGCCCATTTTTGGCCACCAAACATAGCTGAAAATATATCTGGCTCATTGGGAAGCAAGTATACCAAAGATTGATGAATCTGAGAGCTCTTTCGTTTCCTGAAAGGCTGAAAAACGGATGCTATTATTTGATAGGATCGCTTCGGATGTATATTTCTGCATAAGAGTGTGGCTGATCCATCTTGCGTCAACTGCCAAGTGTCACACTGCACGAACGACTCGGCTTCACTGCGCTCCTTCGCCAAAATTTCATCCCAGGATCCGGTTTTGAAGGTCCACTGAAGTAAGTCTTTTTCAAGAGATCTCCCCGGAAATCGTTTTTTTTTTTCAGACCGGAAGAGCCGAGGGCAGCAAGAATGGGTCGAAGGAAATTATCGGGGGGGAAAGGGAAATCGATGAAAACTCCTCCTGGCGTTGGACACTCCCGGAGGATCAACTCCGGAAGCTGTTTCCCGGCATCGACAGTGTCGAGGGCTTTGGTCCGACACGCCGCACCGCGTCAAGGGGTAAACATAAAATTTCCGGGAGTCCTCTTTGAGTCAAGCCTTTCAAAAAAAAAACCTGCCAACGAACCTGTCGCAACGCAAAGGGACGCAGCTCCAGCATCCAGTTGCAACTGGACCCAAAAACTTGTTGGATCTCAATGCCAGTGAGCCTTGCAAAAATCCTGTTTTTGCAAGACTCACTGAGCCTCACTCAAGGACAAGAAGTGGTCATCACTTCTTCAATTTTCCTAAAATTGGCCAATCCTGAGGCAGGAATAAATCACCTGATTTCTTCCTGACCCAGTCCAAGCAGGTGGCTATAAAAGCCTTCATTCCTCTTTGAGAGGAGAAGTCAGACCTAGTGTTAAAGGGTCTTTTAACTTTAATTACCTCAATCATTATTCTGAGCAAACCAACCAATCCCACAATTGACTCTGCCATTACAACCATTGAATCAACAGCCAATTGATGAACTAAGCAATGAGAATGAACTCCTCTGAAAAGAGTTTGAGTTCTTATTTAAAACTTGCATTCTGATGGCTGCAAAATTCAATTCCTTTGTCTGGGATCCACTGGACCCATGGCAGAACCTCTGCAAAATGCGTTTGTATTGCACCCAAAGGCGCTTGAAAGGTTTCATCGATTGCACACCTGTACACAGTACCTTAAACATATCCAGGTAATCAAAAAAATCTATGCAAAGTACCTACTGTCAAATATTATGGACTGCCGAGTTTCGATGCTTTGAGTGGATTTACAAATCGCGTGGTGGACTTCAAGGTAGGTTTTTTTCAGTGAAAATAAATACGTACATAATTCATCCAATACCTGAACAATTTTATTCATTCTTTCTCATCACAGAAAGGCAAAACCAAAAACGTACGATCAAATGGAGAACTCAAAACAACTGGATGTTGAACGTTTTAGACCCATTCTTGGTGTCTATACAAATATGGATTGAGCCAATTTAAAGCGGCTGAAAAAATGCGTCGTAGTTGAATCCATAAATCAGATATGATTTAGAATTTGATTTTCGAATCTTGAACTTCGGATGGTTTTAACGTGCTGTTTGAAAACAGAAAAAAGAAGGAAGGCAACCAGAAGACGGCATTTTAGAAAGATTTTTATGGGCTACCAGCACATGTAAAAGGTAGCATTTCGTGTGGAAGACAAAAACAAATCGAAATTGCTATTTTTTTCCCATTTCGGGCATGTTTTTCTAGGCTAAATTGGTGTTTAAACTTATTAAGCTAATATGTGTCACTTGAGCAGCTATGTTTGTGATTTCCCAAAGATAAATAATGGCAACTAAATATTTTTTGTGAATATTCACTTGATTATATTCGAAGCTCACTATATGTCCATTCATTAAATGTTTCATTGCGATGCATGATTTTTTTTAAAACATTTTGAAAGGATTTCGTCAAGTTCAGAAAATATCTAAAACTTTTTTACTTGCATAGCCAGTTCATTTCTTCAGACAAAAGTTCCCCACATATGGAGCCACTTTAGCAAATTTTTCATCAGTATTCAAATTTAAAAAATAGGTCCTGCTTCCTTTTTTGTAGATCCCATTTTGTCATTCTAAAATTTCGTTGAGTGCAAACATTTCCTCTGTGTGGCTCTGATTTTTTCCCTACTTTTTAAAACATTTGTAAAACAAAAGATCTGTTCATTTTCTAGAAAATACGTATTTTCTGGAATCTCCAGACGGAGCTACCACTATTACCATTATTAGTGCTTTATTGGGAACTCAGAGTTCCCAATAAAGCACTAATAATGGTAAAGTTTGAAAAATAATTGATCAATTAAATGAACGTTGATCACGTTAGCGATTCACGCGACAACTTTTCATGACAGTTCCAAACGCAAAGTCGGTAGTTCCCAGGGATAAGCAGCGAACAATTTCCTCCTCACTTTCTCTGTTTCCCTGTATATATATAGGCTAGAAAAGAAGCCCCCCCCCCCCCTCGGGTTGAGGTGAACCAGAGCTGCCAATAAATGCATTGAGCCATTGATCCCTTCTTTCGTAGGAGAAAGATACAAGTGACTTCTCACGCCGAGAAGAGTATCGGGCGAGACGGACGTCCCCCCCCCCTCGGGTTGAGGTGAACCAGAGCTGCCAATAAATGCATTGAGCCATTGATCCCTTCTTTCGTAGGAGAAAGATACAAGTGACTTCTCACGCCGAGAAGAGTATCGGGCGAGACGGACGAAAAATTACGCACCCGAAGCCCGCATCCTGCTCTCCATGGAAAGCAAATCTAATTTAACATCACACGACATTGATCTTTCAGCGAAAGTTTACTCTGTGCCCGGAGTCCAACCACTTTTCTTCCTCTTCTTCTTCTTCTTCTCCTCTCCCAAGCTCTTGATACGTATACTGTACGTATATATGTTGTATACAGTGCGTGGGTCCCAACGTAAAAACCGAATCCATTCTTGGATGCATTTTGGTATTTTTAAAACCATTTTTTTAAAATCATATTAACATGATATCCCTAAAATAATTATCACATCTTCTTAAGCATCACCGGCACCTTTCTGCTATAAAAAATTGAGAAAGAAAAGTGAGGTGAAAATCATTTTCACCATTTTTTCCCTCAAAATATTGTTCATTTCTGATGAGCATCATACTTACGATTAACATGTTCAGCGAAATTTTAAAAAGTTATTTTTGGGGACTGAAGTATTTGTGAAAAAATTAAAATTTATAACCAAATCAAACTTATAAATGGAAATGTAAAAGAAAAACCTATATGCAAGACATTGAAATTCAAAGCTTAATGGTCTAAATTTAAAACTGTAGCTTTTATCAATTAAAATGGGCAAATTATTGCGACGCAGCTCACTGATAAACTGGATGCATGTCATATATAAGAATGAAATTCCCTCAGAAATCATGTCTCAAAAATGTCTCATACATGAGGGCACATATGGTACTTGCGTACATATACATTATTGTATAATTTAGAAGTGCTGTATTATTTGATTTGTTCCGGACACAATAAAATATACACTATGAGCCTTGAATGCATGTTTGCGATGAATTTTTTATAAAATAATGAGTTCAAATTTTATTAGCATTGAATTGAAGTAATCCAGCTGAGATCTGTGAGCTTGTGACTTTCACAATTTATCCGGGGCTAACAAACATAGGAAAGGGCCTTTTTCTCTCTCGAGCAATTCTCGCCTTTTATCTAAAAACAACAACATCAACAACTCCGAAGCTTCAAGGGAAAATGTGCTGAATTTGGAAACTTTTCAGCAAGCATTTCGTTGTACATTTCGTTTTATTGGGGATTCTTTTTTCCTCGCCCAAAAAGTGCGCCCTGCATGTGTTTTTTTGTTTTGTACAGGTTTTTCGTTAAGCAGGGACCCACTGTACAGTATACGTAAATTCGTTAAGCAACAACATCAGCTGGTCCCACTTTTTCTTGGCACTCTGTCAAGAACCCAGCTCGTCGCCATGTCTGGTCAAACGTACGCCACGAACACCAACCCTTCCTTTCCCCTTCTCTCTTTTCTTCTTCCCTTTTTTTTAATCTCTTTTCCCCAGTGTGAAAGCGAGGAAAACTTTTAGAATTGTCCGCCTGCAGCTGCAGAGCGGGCATTAGCAGCAGTAATGCGGCGATCGACTAGCGCGGGATCCGGGATTAACGACCCGTGCCCCACGGGGTTGCGATGGCAGCAGATTCCAGCGACACACACACACCGTCTCGGCAATCATGGAATGATGTACCCGTGTTGTTGCGAAGAGTAAACAAATGAAATCATTCACGTGAGGCAAAGGGAAACCTCTTTATTGAAACTCTCGGAAGAACACTTTCCAGGGTCCCTATGATGTTCTACTTTTTAAACATGCAATTTTTTTCCGCGGAAGAATGAAGGAAGGTTCTAACACGGGGATGGTCAATGAAATTAGGGTAATCTCTATGCAGGCATGAAATGATACCCGCGTTGTTGCAAAGATTAAACATATATGAAATCATTCACATGAGGCAAAGGGAAACCTGTTTGAAACTCTCGGAAGAACGCTTTCCAGGGCCCCAAGATTTTCCTTTTTTTTTTAAACATGTGATTGTTTCCGGAGGAATGAAGGAAGTTTCCAACATCCTAGTTGAAGCTGAGGTTTGTACTTGGTATTAGTATAGGTAAATCCCCATGTTCCGCTATTTTTAATCATTTATGCATATGCTGTTTATATTTCTCGATTTATAGTTGGATGATGTTTGATCGAATCAAAATATCTTAGGCATTCTGCAGTAATTTTTTGTGTGCATATTTTCGTGTTATTTTATATTTTTACTTCCTTCGGAAAGATCAAATAAATTAATTCCTAAACGCATAATTTTCGAAGTGAAATTTTCCGGAAGTCCTGGAATATATATACTGCAGTGTAGGACTGAATCCTATTTATGAAGCTGAAGTTTTTACTTTTCATCATACCCAGTATATATAGTTGAAGTCCACGTTCTGCGAGTTTGAGTCGTTTTTTTTTTATTTTCCCGACACATATTTCGAAGATTTTTAATCAATGCAGTGTTGGGGAACCTCGTTAAGGTTCCATTAATTATTCTTGGTTGACCCCCTTAGTAACCTGAAATAAAAAGATGACAGATTTTCCCAGAAATGAGAAATACACCTATATGTTGATTTGAATAAAACGTTGGTACATTTTCTATAGACATTTTCATGCATGTTTTCTGCTGATTTTCATTTCTTCGCCTTCCCTTGAAATGAGAACTACACCTATTCGTTGCTTTGAATACAACTTTGGTAAATTTTCTATATAAATTTTCATGCATATTTTCTGCTGATTTTTATATCTTCGCCTTTTTGACGGTTCGGTATTCTGAATATACGAATACGTGCCTGGGGAAGAATAAGGGGCACAGGAGTTAACTTATTAATTAGCTCTTTTCCCGTTGCTTTGAATAAAACTCTGTTGAATTTTATATAGACATTTTCATGCACATTTTCTGCTGATTTTTATATCTTCGTCTTTTTGACGGTTTGGTATTCGGAATATACGCTTATACGTGCCTGGAGAAGAAGGGGCACAGGAGTAAACTTGTTGATTAGCTCTTTTCCCGTGGGGGCGTTTGCCAGGGCGATGTTCAGCCAGCAGCATCAAACCTTCCCTTTGATTGGTGCCAGTGAAGTTGATTAGCCAACGAAAGCCATACGGTGAAAGTCGAAGGAATAGAATACACTATACACACTGCGATTCGCTCTCCTTATTGATACTGCAGCAGCTGCTTTGGTCTCATCAATTACCAGCTATATATGCTGGAAGAACGACGACCTGAATACGGACATCGAAATTAGATCCAGCGATGAAAGCACGCAGGCTTTTCATGTCTGTATAGCCGCATATTTTTTGTACAATCAATCAACCTCGTCGGTTTTGATCACGAGAAAATGATATGTCATCGGAAGATGCTGGACGAAATTGCTTGGACAGAGTGGCTCTATATTGCGGATTATTTGTTGAGAGATTTTGTGCTAATCTGCCTGAGCATTCGTCAGATGGGAGAATCAAAACGCGGAGGAGTCTTCAGGGGATTCTTTAACGAAAGAATAAAAAACATGAGTGAGACCACGGACACGCGGGCAATTCGGCATACGAACACTCATTTTGTGATTTCAAAAGGCCCGACATGCGGAAAAAGCATGCTAAAATAGCCAAGTTTAAAAAAATGATATCAGGTGGAATTAGAAGAAGCAGACGAAATATTTACTGTACTGTATTTCACTCGCCTCACACGTCATTTCTGTAAAATGTTAGCCGTTGGTAAATTTTTGAAAAATTGCCGTAACTGTAAACTTTTCTCATTGATAATAATAATGTCCGAACAAATTTCGAAGCTCGATCGCAAAGAAAAAACCATTCTGATATATTCAATTTTCTCCGTGAATCAGCGAATTTTTAAAGTCCTATAAATTTTTATTCAGGATAGCGAAATTTTGTCAATATGTACCAGAAAATTTATACACGTGCTGGTGCAATGAAATACTGGTTCAGTAAAAAATAAACAATCAAGTCACTAAACCAAGATCAACGATTCCAGGTTGAAAAAGAACTGTCTTCTCATCCGGAATATCAATTTCTGTGTAGTCACGAAAATACATTAACCTCATCTCAGCATCGTTGTATGTAAATGAGAAAAAGAGCCATGTAATACAAAAGCAATCTGGAAATTAATTGAGCTGAGGCAAAGTCAGGATAAATCCAAAAAAAGCGGGTAGCCTAACTGAGAATTTTTTTCCCCCACAAAAATTTTCCATGCCCAGCTTGGGGAAAAAAATATCTGGATTTTTCCCAACTTTGCTCTTAACCCCCTGTTGACATTTTTTCCTTCACTTCTCTGAGGTGCAACAAAATTTTGAAAAAAATAGTCCAACGTTGCCGCCCAAGGGATATATAGAAAGTCCATTTGTATTTGGAAGAAAAATTGAACGCATGGTATTGGACAAAACTCCCACTTTTCACTCATTCGAAAAACAAGCGATTCCAAAACTTGTATCTGTTTTGAAAGGGGGAAAATGTTTTTTTTTTTTTTTTGCCTGTCATAAACTGTCCCACTGGCGTCAACTATATTCCATGGGCAAGTGGCGTGTTACTCTTCATGGCTGGGCGGATCAAACCCCGTCTCTTGAGGAAATGCAACGAAAATCCCCGGCTACTCAGTGATGTGTCAGCACAACAGGCACAGGAGAAATATCGATCCTTCCGCATGCCTTCCTTGCTGCGCCCAAGTCATTGCTATACAGCATATCCTTCCACCATATGCAAAGCCTGTGCCCACGTTTTTTTTTTCTTCTCTGCCTTTTGTGGACCTTTATTCTTCTCAATGAGGATACATAGCTTCCGCATTGAAAAAACAAAAATAAATAAAAATACCAATACATTCTGCCTATACATTTGCAAGGGCGGAATGCATCTTTCGCAGGCCAAAAAAAAACCCCGAATTTTCGGGAATTGCTTTGTTTTTATTGCCTAAATTCCATTGATACTGTCTGCATCAGAGACGAATCGGGTGAAGCAAAAATTTGAAGTCACGGATACGAGACATTTATATATAGCGGTATATTCCATAAAACGAAGCTGTATAAGACCGTCTTTTGCCTTTTTCGTTCGAAAATCATAATGCGCTATTTCTAAAAATTTTTGAAAGAACCATATTTACTTTCAAAAGTTTGAAGAATAATTTTATGCTCACCAATAAATCTGTTGAGCGCGTAATTTTGTTTTTGAAAAGCTTCATCAAAAAATGTGTATTACACGTCTGTTCATTTTGCTGGAGAGTATATTTGCAAAACTCTCAATTTTTAAGAAAATCGAGTTCTTCTAGGAGAAAATTGTGAATACAAGTCTGGCCATTTTGTTGACGAAGGTATTGGCGCAGCTCCAATTTTTTTTTTCTTCAAGAAAATCGGAAGCTTCGAAGAGTTTAAAGGGGGTACTGTTGAAATATGCAGAAAATTCTCAGGGAAATGGCAGTTAAACAAAAAAGGTACCGAACATACGGACTATAGCCAATTCCATAAGATGATACGATAAATTTTTGGTTGTTGCTTCTATGGCGATGAACTTTCATCAGTGGATATTTTCATAGTCACGAACTCACGACTGATTTATTCCTGCTGCTGAATTTTTCCAGCCTTGAATTAATTAAGAAAAATTAAGCTCAATATTAGAAGCAAGGAACAGACCAACAAACTTTCATGTCACCCTCGTCTCGTGTAGAGAGGGAAAGGAGAACAGATGAGGGAGATACATTCATGCCACCTTCTGTTTGAGAAGAGGGTTGCTGGGGTCAAATTACGTACCCCTTTCCCCTGCACGACACAAGATAACCTTTTTCCCCCGTGGCGGATCGGGAGGATGCCATCGAAAAGGGCTATTCTTTGCGGAAAGTGCTTTCCTTGTATAGAGCTAACAAAAGTATGGTCTCCTGCATTGTTTTCTTTGGTAAATTGCTTTCATGGTCGTGTCCCGCCAGAAGGTGCCAAAATCTTGGCAAGCAGAATCTGAGTCCCATAGTGGGACGGCCATTCTCGGTGAACCGAAAATAAATTTGAAATGCACTTTTCAACGCCAATTTAAAATTCCGAAAACTTTCGTTCGTAATCTCTTTTGACTGAAGGATCCATTGGGACTTGGTTGAATATTCAAATTGAAATCTTTGTACAGTAAAATCTCGGTATAACGAACTACTGTATACGAGAGCGACCTGAAAAATCGGTACAATGAAAAATTTACTAAAACGTGATTCATGCTTCTTTGAGCATGTACGACTGAAATTCTTTGGGTTACGTTTAATTGAAACTTCAAAGTCCATGCACAACATAGGTATGTGAACAATTGTCAATCTTCCAATTTCTTTTCATGCAATATTTGAAGAATATTCAAAGTGTGAAATATTTAATATGCTGGTATTTTAGACCGTCTCTTTCTTAAATTTTCTAAAATTGTATCCATCTTACTAAAGTATAATCTAAAACAAACAGAAATTGCAGGTGCAAGAAGAAAAAAAACTGATCAAGAACTGATGTATGTTCCCTGAAATAAAGCACTGTCCTTCCAATAAGGCATGCTATTCCTTCAAAAATCAGCCTTTCTGAATTTTCGAATGAGGCCAGATAAAATTGCAATTCAGCATTATACTCCCTGCATTGCTAAATTTTCTAGGAAGAAGAAAGATCAACATTGATATTCTTTGAAGGTTTTTCAACTATACATAATATATGTTTTCC